GGGCTCCACAGAATCCCGCCACTCAGGAAGGTTTGGGAAGGTCGTCTTCTTCAGAGACACACTCGAGTGTGTCAGAAAAGGGATCAGAAAAGGGACCTAATTATTCTACTAAAGTATGTTTCCACTTACCCAAGAGTGTGTCTGTTCTTTTGTCCGCTTTCGGCTGCTGCGGGGTCGTTTGCCTATTGAAAGAAAGTGGGCGAGGGGAGAGCGCTAGAGCTCTGAGGAACGGCTGCCTTCTTGTTAGCAACCTAAGTTAAACATTGAGTGACAGAAGCCAGCATGGCTGAAGCATCACTTGGGGGTGAATGCATGGCTTCGTTTTTCTATGCTTTCTTGACCACTGCTTCCTCCAGCACCACGTACAACGTCTGAGCAGGTTTTCTGGAGAGTTGTCAGTGCTTATTTTTATAACCTCTAACATAACAGCGTCAAATATAAACACAAACATAGCCCCCATCAAGGAGAGGATCTGTATAGGCCATGGAGCTAAAACAGACTCTCAGAAATGTGCTCGACATTTCCTTTGGCAGCGTTCATGGGCTCCTTGGAAAGCCTTACTCCTCTCCTCTGCTGCTGGCAAGCTCTAATTTGGGTAAGAAGTTGGCAGGTGCCAGCAAAGGACAATAGGCCTTTAATTAAGGCCTGGAGAGCCAGAAGTCAGGAAGCAACCTCCTAATGAGTTTCTTTTTAACACTGGCGTTTCTTCTAACTTCCCTGCAAACAATGGCTGTATGCTCCATCAGGGTAACTGTGGTCATTAATCTTCTGTAAGCATGGGAATTTCTTGTAACATAAAGGTAGGAATAGATTTTTTTTCTTTTGCAATACCTTGAAAAATTAGTGTTATCGTGTATTCTTGGTTTGAGGCAGTTGATTTGACTGTGGTGATGCTGAATGTGACTTCGTAACTTGGTCTCTCCATGCAGATACCCTCTGTGAGAAGTTTGTTATATCTGACATTAGAATTAATGTAGACATATTTTGGTAATGGCCATGTTTTCAGTCACTGGCTTTGAGGAAGGTTTTCAAATGCAGAGACTGAGCCTGCTAAGCATAGTTGCTATGGAGACTGTGCGAGAGTTGGATTAATTAAGGCCTTAACAGATGTTGTGAAGTGTGCAGAATGCACTGTTTTCTGCTAGTAATTAAAGCGGGTGCGTGTATATGTGAGAGAGGAGAAAAAATGGAGACAATCAGGGACAAAGAAGCCACACAGATGTGCTTGGCGCCGGACATGTAGTGTTTCCCCCAGTAAAACTGTCTGCTGATAGCTCTCTGACACTTCTCCACTTTCTCCTTCACCCATGACAGGCAGAATGCTTGCTCGAAATGGCCAAGCAGCCCATCCGTTCTGCCCTTTGTGGTCTGATTTATAAGAGGCACAGCAATATGCAAAAGCATGTTCTTGGATCAGCGGGTTGTCTGAGCACTCAAAAACCAAACTGAACTGTGTGAATGGTTTTTAAATTACCTGGCAAGGAGACCAAGTTTGCAGACTGGAGCTATATTCGTTGCCCAACCTGCCAGGGGTATTGTCATCACTGAATTGGTAGCCAAGATAGAAATTGGCTGATCAATGCCATGGAGAAATTATTGTAGGAATACCTTCAAGATCTGAAAATAAATGACATGTCAGTCTAGATTAGGTTTGGTTTGGAGGATATTTGATTGTTGTAGTTTAAACTAAATCTGTTGATTTTTAAAACAATATATTTCTATTTTCACTTGAATGATATTAGTATTAGGTTTAGGTCCAAGTTCAGCAAATTAGGTTCTGCTTGCCTCCTGCTTAGTGGCCCCAGTGAGCAGCGTCCCTGACAGGCAGGAAGGAGTTAGCGGGTTGCAATACTTCCGACTGGACGGCAGCCTGCCCTAATGCTCTTCTGCTGGGTGGGCAGCATGCTGTTCGGCTGGAACTGGTCGCTTTTGAAGCATGAGCATTTTTCCTCTGTCTCACATCTGTGGAAGCAGTGTTGTCTGAAAATGGGGAATCAGAAAACTTCGCGGAGGTACTTTGTTTCCTGGGGGACAGTGTCTTAGAGGCCTGAGTCAGCTTCTTACCACCCTCAGACCATGGAGATGGGTCAGAATGGAATGATATAAGGAATTGCGTGGCCTGGGAGGGAGAGATAGAGATAGAGATAAATAGAGATAGAGAGAGGATAGAGATAGATAGAGATAGTAGAGATAGGTGGAGATAGAGATAGATACCGACACAGGCAGACAAAGCTATCTCAACAAAAGCTTGGTATTTGATTGTACACATAGGCTCCTAAAGGGTAAGGCACCTTCCCACCCCCCAAAAAACATTTGCCCAGTCTTGCCACGCCTCTGATTGCAGCCTGGTTCAGTCTGTGAATGGAGCAATTTCTTTTTCTAATGAGCTGAAGGCTATAGGTGGCACTCTTAA